CAATATGCTCTCGTACCCCACAACAGAAAGGGTTGTAGAAAAAAAGCATAGCATCTCTTAGAAACTACTAGGCTCTTCTCTTTCAATCTGGGCTCCCTATTAGATTCTGGGAGACTATATCCTCACTACAACCTATTTGATAAATAGGTTCCCTTCCAGTCTACTAAAAGATAAAATTTCCTATGAAATCTTCTACCATAAACTTCTTATTTACTCTAATCTTAGAGCTTTTGGGTGTCTATATTATTTTATTATTCCAAAGCCTCACATGAACAAACTTAAATCAAGGGCAATTCCTTGTGTCTTCTTAAGATATTCCTTTGCTAAGAAAGGCTACAAGTTGTATGATTTGGATACTAAAACCTGTTTTGTTTTCAAAGATGTTATTTTTCATGAACACATATTCCCTTTTATTCAAGCAAAATCAGGGAATTATCCTATGTGCACTATGCCTCTTTCTGCTTGTTTTGAGTACCCCGTTTAGCCTAATTGTTCAACCTTGTATTCTGAGTTTCCATTATCATCATACACTTCTCCTGTCTCATCCCATGTCTTGTTATTCCCTATGAGGAGTCTACCTCACCTCCTTTTATTTTTTCCAGTCCTACTCTGGCTTCCCCTCCTTCTTCCTTGCCATCTCAGTCCACCTCTTCTCTTGATTCTAATAAAATAGTTCATGCAGTAAGGAAGTCCTCCAGACCTCATAACCCCCTCCTTATCTCCAAAACTATTTGTGCACTTTCCTTCTCAAGGCCCTAGGTTTGCTAACTCCACTTTTGTTTCTACCTTTAGTGAGCATAATGTTTTTGAGCCTAACACTTACTCTTAAGCAGCATCCAGTCTTGAGTGACAGGATGCCATGGAAAAGGATTTTGAAGCCTTGGATGCTAATGGGACTTGGGACATTGTTGAGTTATCCCAAGGCAAGAAACCTATTGGTTGTAAATGAGTGTATAAGGTTAAATACAAAGCTGATGAGACCTTAGAAAGATACAAGGCTAGACTTGTGGTTAAGGGGGACACCCAGGTTGAAGGAATAGATTTTCATGAAACTTTTTTCCTGTTGTAAAAATGCCCACTGTTAAAGCTTTAATTGTTGTGACTGTAAAAAAGAAATGACCTTTATTCACAATTAAATGTCAACATTGCTTTTCTACCTGGGGATTTTGATGAGGAAATCTTGATGAAGCTTTCACCCGGGCTTTCTATTCCTTCCTCTTCTTCATTGTCTTCTTCTTCTTCTTCATCTCCCCTAGTTTGCAAGCTCTAGAACTCCCTTTATGTTCTCAGGCAAGCATCCAGACAATGATATGCTAAGTTGTCACATGCTTTGTATTCTAGAGGCTATGTCCATTCACTACAAGAAATAGGACATAGGACAACATTATATAAATGTCGTATTATGTAGTTTAAATGTCACAAATTGAATCTCCGACATTTAATTTATGTTTTTCCTAAATGTCTTAAATTTCATTGTCGGGAATTTTACGACATTTAGGTAAATGTCGGAAAAAGATTTGCGACATTTATTTACAGACTTTTATAAAAATGTCACTTAGATTTTCTGAAATGTAAGGTAATGTTGGTAAAAGATTTTGCGACATCTTTTATAGCCTTTAAGAAATGTCACATTTAATTTCCAGCATTTAGGTTAATGTCAATAAAATATTTACGACATTTCTTTAGAAATATATGAAACGTCATTAAAATTTCTGTTATTTTTTTTATTATACATGACACCAATACTTATTGTACATTTATAAATATCAAACATCATACACAATGTAACAAAGATAAATTATAGGTAAAGTGAATGTTTTCAGTACTGTATCCAAAGAACAAAAGTACTGATCGACTAAGTGTACTTCTTACAAATTTGAACAATTTAAAAGACGTCAACATACAACTACACTAATAGTTTATTTGGCCAAGCTTCTAATATCAGTTTATTTTGAGAAGTGATTTTCTTAAAAGTACTTTTAAAAAAAGTGTTTTTGGTGAGAAGTAGTTTGTGTTTGGCTAATTAGTTAGAAAAGCACTTTTGAGCAGTAATTAGTTTTTGGGCAAGCTTTGAAAAACTGTTTCTAAGTGTATTTTTCTCAAAACTGCTTCTTAGAAAAATGCTTTTGGAGAGAAGCTACTTTTTTCTGCTTCTCTAAAATTACTTCTGCTTCTCCTCAAAATCATTTTTTTCCTTCCAAAAAGCTTGACCAAACACCTCAATTTTTGGCCAAAAGTGTTTTTAGCCAAAAAAGTACTTTTGGCCCAAAAAAAAGCTTGGCCAAACATGCTATACAGCGACAACCCTTGTCAGTAATTAATTAGGAGCCTGTTTGAATGGGCTTAAAAGTTGGTCAAACCAGCTTTTAAGCACTTTTTAACATTTGGAAGTGTTTAACAATTGCTAAAATGGCTTAAAAAAAAGCTAAAATCTGCTTAAAAAAAAGCCAAAACCAACAAGTTGGATAAACCCAACTTTTTAAAAATTGTCTTAAAAACCATATTATTTTGACCAAGAATATTACATTCTTATCCCTTATAATTTTCTTAATCTCGAAATTACCCCTCACTACAAAACTTGAAATTGTTGTTTTCTTTCCCATTATTCTCCAGACGATTAGTTTGCTTCCCATTTTTTGTTTTTTATTAATTTTCTTTAAAATATTAATTATTATTTTTGTTTGCTTTCTTCGTACAGAAATTGGGTTAATTTTCAATTGCTTTCTTCATACTACTTTTAGTTTTTAAAATTGAAAGTGAATTAAAACATTAATTATTATGTATTTATATTATTTAAAATAAAATATTAGAGTAATAAGTTTCTTTATAAGTTTAACAGCTTTAAGGATATTTCAGTAATTTTAACAAAAAATTCTTACTAACCCTTATTTACCAAACACTTCAATGGCTTTTTTTCAGCTCCATCACTTTTATCCAAACACGTAACTGCTTATTTATAAAACTAGCTCCAGCACTTAAAAAATGCTTTTAAGTCGTGTACTTAAAAGCTACTTTTTTAAGCCAATCCAAACGGGCCCTAGACATCCTATACAAAAAATCCACATAAGAAAGAATTATAATAATATGATATGGGGGAAAAAGTAAAAAGGACTTGTATATTTTTTTCAACTCTATTATTTCTAGTCTTTTGATTGTAATCTGGGAAAAATTATTACAATGGTACTTCGATAACTTAGGGAATTCAGAGCTCTAAGAACTTTACGAGGAACCAGACAAACTATTGCAACTCATTTCCATGTAAGCTATTGTATCATGCTGCATCTAGTGCAGAAACTGAGTAACATCAATTAGAAGAAATTGCCCAAAACAACAAAGATCTCATAGAACTTCTACTATCAAATAGAGGGTACGTGATCACCTTTGCAAATCTGAATCTATCGTTTCCAGAACTGATACTATAGCAAAAAAGTTAACCTATTCAACTATCACATGGTAAGACATCTCCATTTCTTTCAAAAGTCCTTTTTTTTAAACTGAAACATAAGGAAGAAAAAGTGTTAGAATCCCTAAAGGATGGCAACTTGTCTTATTAATCTGTTCTGCAACTCATTTAAAAGCAAAAATTGAATTAGTAAGGTAAGTCATGGAAACATTACCACTTATTAGTGTTAGGAATGTTAGCATTCATCTTGGTGTGACATAAAACATATGAGGAAGGGATAAAATAGAGCAATGCTTTTACAATATCATAACTATAGTCGACAAAGATACTAATAATTTAACTACTCTAATCCATAGAGTATCTCATAAATTAATTTGTAAAGAGTTTATTTTTAGAGTATCACTATTGTAGTACTCGGAAAGGCCTCGCGGAAATGGATAAGCTAACTTGCTTTCTTCTAACAGATGAGGAGAAAAGTAAAATCTAACAATCATTGATTTTAAATGGTAAAAAGAAGATCTAATCAATAATTTTTCATACGCTCTGAGGTTACAATAGTTTTTGACAATAGTTACTAGTATAATACATAAGGAATCTCTCGAGTGGATAAGCTAATTTGCTTTCTTCAACCAAGGAGGAGCTAATCAAATATAAAATCATTAACTACAACGAGTAAAATCAGATGTGATAAAGAATTTTATACATTCTGATGTTACCAAAATGCTAACACAATATATATAACTCACAACATCTACACCAATTTTAACAACATTATAGGGGCAACCAATTCTAAAAAGGTATAACAATTCTCTTTAATAACAACAATCTGAACCTTTCAAATTTTTATAAATTTGATGTCAAAAATCCTAGGCTAAATGGTGTCTCAAAACATCACTCCAGGCCTATAGACAAGGTTGGTGAGAAAAATTGATCTAACTGAAATGCAACAATAAATTTAACAAATCCAAACAATTAAACTCAACTGACCCTATGAGTTTACAAGAATTACAACATTAGTAACTCCCAAGGATTACAAGAATAATGTGGCTCCATTGAAGATCTTCACTTGAACCTGTAATGGAGATGCACGAATTAGAAGAGAATTAGGACTGTAGAAGAAGATAGAAAGTAGAGAGAGAAAGAGAGGAAATTAGAAGATTACCGGTCAAAAACTAACTTCTAATTCCAGCCCAATCCGTTATAACAGATTGAGGCCCAATCTGTTACACAAGGACTAATCTGGACCCTTTATTAATATCCTCTACTTGTAATGATAGCCGTCCGATTCCCTTAACACGTGCCTGTCTAATGTGCATGTGCCCTTCTTTATTTACCCTAGCTCCTTTCTTTCCTAAATCATTTCTTCATCTTCTTTGACTCAAACCTCAGCCTTCTCGAACATTACAATACCCCTCCCATGAAACAGACCTTGTCCTCAAGGTCGATACTGAGCTACAAACTTAGGAAATTGGCTTCGCACGTACCCCCAATCCTCCCATGTGGCTTCATCAGGGATTAGATTAGTCCATTGAACCAAAACCTTAACCCCAACTCCATTATTGACCTTCACCATTTTCCTCTAAAGAATAGTAATCAGCTAAATCCTGACTCGTCCATCAACGTCATAACTCGGAGGTTGCATCTGAGGGATGATTGTTGGTCCTATTCTTCGTTTCAACTGAGAAATATGGAACACCGGGTGAATCTGAGAGCCTGGAGGAAGGTCAATCCGGTAAGCTACTGCTCCTATACACTGTGGCACTTTATATGGTCCATAAAATCGAGCACTCAATTTCAAGTTTTTTCTGATAGCTACAGATGACTCTGTAGGGTTGTAGTTTGAGATAAACATAGTCCCCCTCCTCAAATTGTCTGTCTGTTCTTGCACGATCTGCATAGAATTTCATCCGGGCCTGTGCCTGTGTGAGATTCTCCTTTAGATGCTGTAGTATGGTCTGCCTCTGTGCGATGCATGCCCCAGCCTGTGTGTTGGATGGGTAAGGGAGAGACCCTAGGGGAACTTGTGGAGGTGGAAACCCATAAAGGGCCTGAAAGGGTGTTGATTTCAGGGCATTATGGTAGTTGGTGTTATACCACCACTCTACCAGGGGAATCCACTTGAACCACTGCTTCTGATTAGTGAACACCATAGCTCTCAAATATGACTCCAAACACTTATTCAGCCTTTCAGTCTAACCATCAATTTGGGGGTGGTAGGAAGTTGACATGTGTAGTTTTGTTCCCAATGATTTAAACAGGCCTAGCCAAAACTGGCTGGTAAAAATAACATCTCTGTTAGTGACATTGGGCAACCCATGCAGCTTGTAAACTTCCTTCTGAAATAAGTCTGCCACATCATGTGCTGTATAATGGTGACTTAGAGCTAGGAAATGACCATACTTTGTTAACCTGTCCACAATAACTAGGACAATATTCTTGTGATTTGAGGATGGTAGACCCTCCAAAAAATCCATGGCAATGTCTTGCCAATGAAGGTCCGGAATAGGCAAGGGTTGTAATAGACCAGCTGGATGAATGTTTTCGATTTTGACCCTTTGGCAAAATATCACATTCTGAGACCCATTTGAACACATCTGTCTTCATGTTAGGCCAATAGAATGTCATCCTTATCCTCTTGTAAGTCCCTTGTTGGCCAGAGTGCTCCCCAAAGAAGATAAGTGTAATGCCTTAAAAATCCTAACCCTTAGATCAGAGCCTCTTCCCACATAAATTCTATGATCATTGTAGACACGTGATTTTTGACCCTCCCCGAGAATTTTCACATTTTTAGCATAAATATGTAATCTATGTCTAATATACCTATTTTGACTATTTTTTGCTTTATTTCGTTGCAAAAAGAAAAATTACAAAAAAAATATGTATATATAAATTTTTAGCTTATGTATTTCTCATAAACTTGAAGAATACAAAAATAGTACCTTGTTTTGTACTTTACATAATTTCAAAAATTACCAAAAAATATAGTTCTATTAATGTTTTGTAGTCATTCTAATTTTGAAAAATACAAAAATATTACTTTATATTTTATCTTTATATAAAAACGAAAATTACAAAAAAATAGTTTTATTAATATTTTGTAGTTATTTTAATCTTGAAAAATATTAAAAAAGATATAGTTTTGTTTAAAATATTAGTCTTATTTTAGTAGCTATTTTGCTTACATAGGATTAGTCGAACAACGTCGTGTTCTTATTCTCGGGTCCGGGCAAAAAAATAATATTTGGGTTTAAACTACCCGCTTTTAGGCCTAATTTTCGGACCTAGCCCATAATAATCCGAGTCCACCACACGTGGGGAACACGGACGGAACATCGTACACGGGAACCCCACCACGCGTGGGGGACACAAGTCTTGAACCCCACCACGCGTGGGGCTCATTTTTCTTGGCAAAAGGGTATCAAATACACGGGAAGCCAAGGATTTGAAGGAGGGACTTTTGAAAAATTGAAACGAACGGACTTTGGAAAATTTTTAAAAGGGACGGACGACTGTACATCTTCTTCCAAAAGGAACCAACGAAAAAACCCTACTGTCAAGAACAAAAAAAACCCACCATCGTTCCACCTCCAAAAACCTCTCCGACTGCTCGTCGTCACCGCCCACACGACCACCCCTCCTCCTCCTAGCTCCGTCAAACCAGTCCAGCGATCCTCCATTAAACCCGGCGTATACTGTTCATCGTCTTCCTCCTTTTCTCAAGAACGAAAACCCTAAACAAAACCCTACTGTCCACCTCCGTGAAACCACCTGTGTCCACCACCCATCGTCTTCCCCACCGTGAAACCACCACAAACAGACCCTGCATCGTCCAACAATCCCCCGTCAAGCAGTAGCTATTGCTGCTGCTTCGTCGACCCTACCGTCCAAACCACCAGCTCCCCGTCGTCACTGCCCGCTACCAGCTGAACCAGCACGACCCCCACGCCTCAGTTTATATCTAACAACAACTGTTGTTGCTTCCCGTCGTCACTGCCCAAGGTGACCGTCCAGTCGCATCCCCACGTCCAAACGACTGCCTGCAATGCCCAGCCATGAACGACCCTTCCCCCTTGCCATGACTGACCGAAAACACACACACACCAGCTGAAGCTTAACCGTAAAACGTTCGAAAAGGTNTCATGACTGACTGAAAAAACACACACACACACACCAGCTGAAGCTTAACCGTAAAACGTTCGAAAAGGTAGCCCAGAAGTTCTGTCCGGGGTGAGGTCCGTTGAGGTCGTCTTTGGTTCGTCGAGGTCCGGTACGTCGAGGTTGTTGCTGTCCATTTTTTGGCGAGTTCGAGATGTTGAAACTCGACGTTGCTGTTAAACGTGAGTANGGTAGGCCATCTCTGTCCGTGTACCTCATATTTTCTGTTAGTAATATGTATATGTGATGTTTTAGGATACCATCCTAGTTCATGCGAATAGTGCGCGAATTGAGCGAGACATATATACATGATGTTTGCGAATGACTATTTTTTGTTAATTAACTCCGTATGTTATTGAAATTTGGCCGTGAACGTCTTTTTCCTTTGTTTCGTTTGCTTCAAGTAGGTATTTGACATTTTGGCTTCTTCATGTTTAGATTGTTGTTATCCAAATATTTGTCATAATAGGGGAAAGGTGTTAATTATTTTAGCTTGTCTTAATAGTTGTTTACATATGTGGTAGTAAATGTTAAAACCATAGTAGTAATTTTAATTCCACGGAAAAATACTCGTTTCATCAAATAAGTTCGATCTACAACCCATGACCTCTCAAAGTAGCAGGAATGTGGTTATTTTAGCCTTATCCTTTTTTCAATAACAACTGTAGACATTGGATTCTTGACCCTCCCCGAGAATTTTCACATTTTAGCGTGAATATGTGAAATGGGGTCTAATATAGCCATTTTAACTATTTTACTTTATTTCGTTGCAAAAAGAAAAAAATCACAAAAATACATATATAAATTTTAGTTTATGTATTTCTCATAAACTTGAAAAAATACAAAAATTGTACTTTATTTTGGTACTTTATATAAATTCGAAAAATTACAAAAAAATATAATTCTATTAATGTTTTGTAGTCATTTTAATTTTGGAAAAATACAAAAATATTACTTTATATTTTGTCTTTATTAAAAAAACGAAAATTACAAAAAAATAGTTTTATTAATATTTTGTATCTATTTTAAATCTTGAAAAAATATTAAAAAGATATAGTTTTGTTAAATATTAGTCTTATTTTGGTAGCTAATTTGCTTACATAGGACTAGTTAAGCAACGTCGTGTTCTTATTCTCGGATCCGGGCAAAAGAATAATATTCGGGTTCGAATTACCCGGCTTTAGGCCTAATTTTCGGACCTAGCCCATAATAAACCGAGTCCATGACACATGGGGAACCCCACCACGCGTGGGGGACACAAACCTTAAACCCCACCACGCGTGGGGCTCATTTCTCTTGGCATGGGTATCAAATACACGGACAAGGCCAAGGCAAAAGGGGGGACTTTTGGAAAATTTGAAAAGAAAGAGCACTGTTGATCTTCTTCAAAGAGAAGAACCAACAGAAAACCCTAAAGGACTTGGAAAAATTTGAAAACCCACTGTTCATCTTCTTCTTCAAAGGGAAGAAGAACCAAAAACCCTACTGCCTCACGTAAAACTACCCTCGCAACCCCCAGCAACTGACCAAAAAAGACCACCAGCCCTCCTCCATCGTCAACCTATAAGTCCGTCGCCCTCACCTTCCCCAACGCCGGAAACAGACCTCAAAAATCCACCAGCTCCTCCCGTCGTCAACCCGTCACTGCCCATCGTCGTCACTACCCAGCCTACCAGTCCAACTCAACCACCCATCATCGTCTCACACAACCACCAAACAAACCCAAACCAGACGATCCTACTGTCCTAATGCCATAACCAACGTCCATCGACCACCAGCTTCCCCCCGTTGTCACTGCCCCCCAGCAAACGATCACCACCAAACGACCCTTCCAGCGAACCTCCATAACTGGCCGGAAAACGAAACCAGAAAACCAGCTCCCTCCATCCTTTCCGGCACCCCCACACACCAGCCATTGCTCGTCGTCACTGGCCGGCAACCACCACGCCTCAGGTTGGTTCGAACAGCAACTGTTGTTGCCTCCCCATCGTCACCCCCACCAAGCCAACGCCTCCATTTCGACAAACAAAACAAAACAAAAACACTACCACCAAACGGGCTCGTTACCAGCTCCCTCCATTGTCCAAATAACCCACTGCCCGTCAAGGTCGTAGAGAGAGAAGGTGAGCGTCGAGGTCGTTGACAATCTTGGTTCGAGTTTTCGTTACCGTTGAGGTCGTCGTTGTTCGTCGAGGTCCGTTACGTTGAGGACAAAGAAAGGTCCGTTCCTACCACTCTCTTTTATTGATCCATAGATATATTCCATGATTCCGTGAGTTTTGGAATCTACTATGATCCTAATGTTGGTCATTGATTGTATTTTGTTTAAGTTGGGTTTTAATGGTTGAACTATGTGTTGAATGCTTTATTCGGCATATTTCAAAAAGAAAAGAAACGAAAACATTACAAGTTTGAGGTCCAGTTTCATTCTCTCTTTGTTCTGTTCTTGCATGATTACATTTTTAGCCAGAGTGATACTTGAATCTCGAATGAATACGTGATATTGTTTTAGTCGTAAAATTTCCATCTTTTGATTCTCTGTTTCGGGATTTTCCCTTAGTATGCCTCTAAATTTCTGTGATTGAATGATGTAGTGCGAATTTAGTTTGTGTATGAATTATGAAACTGTTAGTTCTCATGAACGAATGAGCCTTGATCATTATTTTTATTAATTATTTTCGGTCGTTATGAACATTCGTAGCTTACTTTAGGCATGTGTACAAATCATCATCGTGATTAGGGGTACGGTTCCCATGACATGGTTACAATGCCTAAAATTCGGGGGTATATTTTATGTGACCCGATTATAATGACTTTAAGATCTTAGTGAATAAATTAGGATTTTTAGAGGCGAATAAAGTAGATAATCATAGTTGTTTTTTAGGCTTGCCTTAAATAAAAATGAGACGAGCCTCGCCAAATAAATCACAAACCGCTGGGGCCCTCAATAAAATAC